GTTGTAGTGGGGCTATTATTTAGAGTTTGTGTTAAGTAAAAGAGCTGTTATTTTCTAAATCTTGGTTTTTCAAGCCCCACCTTTCTAGCCAATTTTTCTTTGTAATACTTGACTTAATTGGAACTTTTTCTATATGGTTTTGTAGCTTGAGAATAGGTAGTTGTAGTGGGCCTATTCTCAAAAGGAGTGTATTTTTAGTTTTGGTGCAATTGTGTTGTCAAAATCATCATTTTTAGGTGACAAGAGATGGGAAAGTCATGCATTGGTAGACTGCATATACTAAAAGAAAAGGAAAGTTTCAGCAATTATAATGCATGATAAATGTCAGTCAAGTTTTATTGTATTATTGTACATAAATCACACTTTTATTAGCAATAATAATACTTTTTATGATTGTTTTATTTTTATTCTGAATGAAAACGTAATATGACGTATTTCCGGTGAAACAAGCCTCAGAACATCCGGTCAGGCCGTGTTTCATATCCAGGGATATATAGTATCTATGATCAGATCGATGCTTTTCAAGATGGCAGCCCCGCGTGGACTATCTGACATGTTTTGTTAAAGAAAATCATCTTAATCTGACTCTTTAAGAGGAATCTTGTTGGCTGTATACACTAGGGCTAAATCACTGGATGTTATGTGAGTACTGTGGACTACATTAAATGTTATACTATTTTTAGGCTATTTTGAACCATTTATTACTTAAACATGAGTAGGATACACGATATTTTGAGTAAAAAGTAGGCACATGTAGATACACAATCAAGCTAAATAAATTAATTGAGCAGATACATGACTGGAAAATAAAACGACTGACACCTTCCAATTAAAGTTTACCACATCTTGCCTACAAAATCTCTATGATACAAAAGTAGAGACCTGGTGAAGACGATGAGAAATCAGGCGTAAAAATGGTTCACTACATGTGATTGTAACTATGTTTTTAATTAGAGTGGATGTATTAGTGATCATGATGATGAAGATATTGTACTGAGAGACTTATGAATGATAGTCACAAGTGTGGTAAAATAGTTTATTGATTATGTGTGTAATTGTTACTTTTCCTTAGAATTTTTGATGCGGAAGATTATTCTGGAAATATTAGTATAGTAGGTGCTCCTTTAATTCTTAATTTATTAATTTAGCAAGGCCATTAGTATACATTCTATAGTTACCTTATCTCACTAAGTTTCAAGACAAGATAATCTTAGGTTTGTTTAATTTCATGTGAAAAGCTAAATTCATTATTCAGGTTGTGATGAACTGAAACTTTCTTGTTTAAAGCTCTTGTTAAGGTCAGTTTAATCATAGTGTTTTAATTTATTATCATCATTTGTCATTATAGTTCACTTCAAATAGCATTGAATTTTTTTGTGAACCTGCCTTCATCATGCTGGTTAAGGAAGGTATGTGTTCCTTTGCTTATGTAGAATTTATGCCTCATTATAGTTATGTTATGGAACTAAGCTTTGTAGGACTATGTGTGACAAGATACCTTCGAAAGATCTGCTTCACTACATGGAACCCGAGAGTTCACTAATGTTGGAGATTTTGGGAAATTAATTTCTCAGTAATGTAAGTTTATTATTTTAGTGCCTTCTTAATTTATGGCTCTTTAGGTGTCTTAAGTTACAAAACATGAAGTGTCTTACTTGTGGAACATTGGTAGACTATGATAAAGAAAACAATTATAATCTTTTTTTCTTTTAATAATAATTTTAAATCATTTTTAATTAATAATGAATAATAATTAAGTATTAATTAAGCATAACAGGAAGTACGCCATAATGAGGCTTAATGAATATCGTTATCGTTGTCGGATCAGGTCTGGCACCAGCATAAATCGTGGCTGATTCGTCAATATCGGATCAGGACATTGCCCCAAATCCTCGGTCCAGGCTCGATCATCAGTAATGATTCAGGCCTGTATCAGGACTGGTCCATGTTCCAACTCTTGGGCGTGTAGTATAGAGTAAGCCACAGATGTTCATCCACCATGCATTATCGGACGCGATTTCTTCGTGGTATCAACTTGGATGCACAAATCTTTTTGCTTTGCATAAACACTATGACTACCTGTAACAGGAAATAAAAGACCAGAGCTGCAGCTTTCTTACTTTTTGCACAGCAGCTCGATAAGTGGACCGGGCGGAAAAATCGATTTTCAGTCAAAACAACAATAATTCAGTCAATGGCTTGCCAATTCTACAGTTTCAAAGTATTTGCTGATAACATCCATGATGTAGATAGGTCTACCCTTCCTCTATCTCAGGCAGAATTCAGAAGTAGCTGCTGCTCCAATTCAGAGAGTAGCATCAACACAACTAAAGTAGGTCACGTGATCAATTATCATCCACGTGTGAGTTCTTGTTTATTAGTTTAACGAGGGTAAAAGAGGCAAAGGAGTTGTTAAAGTAGGTATATTTTGTGTTTTATAACCTTGATCTCTCTTGTTCCATCATTTTTAGTTCCTATGAGTCAGTTAGTAAGAAGCTGTGGTGATGTTCCTCTCTCTGAAAGAGTTTTTAAGAGTACTTGTACTACAGCACCTTTTATCATGTCTCACCTTTATTGCGTAAGTTGTCCAGATATGAAACCTCAAAGGCCTGAGTTCTATAAGCAGTGGGATGATGATGCTATGTCTAGAGCAATGAAAGCTGTGCTGGAAACTGGAATGTCTGTACGTAGAGCTGCTACTGAGTATAATGTTCCCAAGTCAACTCTAAATGACAGAATACAGGGAAAAGTTATTCATGGTTGTCGTAGTGGTCCATCGCGATACTTAACTGAGGCAGAGGAAGAAGAACTTCTTCGTTTTTTGATAAGAAGTGCTTCGATTGGGTATCCCAAGTCTAGGAATGCTGTCATTGCCCTTGTACAACGAGCCTGTAACAATAAAGGGTTGTCTGTAACTGTTACTCATGGGTGGTGGGAGGGTTTTTGCCGAAGAAATCCATCAATTGTTTTGCGAGCTCCTGCACAGTTGTGTTTAGCAAGAGCTAAAGCATCGGATCCTGAAGTTTTTGAGCACTATTTTGATCTACTTGAAAGTACACTCACTGAATATGATATTAGTGATAAACCAATGCAGATCTTCAACATGGACGAAACAGGTGTTCCATTGAGTCCTGATTTGCCAAAAGGTGTGTTTAAAAAAGGGTCGAAAGCTGTTGCTGTAACATCAGGTGATAAATCTCAACTGACTGTTGTAGCTTGTGTCAGTGCTGGTGGTTTTTGCATCCCTCCTATGGTCATTCTTGATCGCAAAACTTTACATCCAGATATGACAATTGGTGAGCTGCCTGGAACAACATATGGGCTTTCTTCCAAAGGGTGGATTGATTCTGAATTGTTTAATATGTGGTTCAATGGTCATTTTTTGCGTTACGCTCCTCCAGTTAGGCCGTTACTTCTTTTAATGGATGGGCACTCAACTCACTTTTGTCCCGAGACAATAAGGTTGGCATCAGAACAAGATGTTGTCATTTTTACACTGCCTCCCAATACTACCCATTTAGCACAACCTCTGGACAAAGGTTGCTTCGGCCCCTTAAAAGCTGAATGGAAGAAGGTATGTCACGAGCATCTTGTAAAGGAGGGACGAGTTGTTACACGTTACTCTTTTTCGAAATTATTTGGTCAAGCTTGGATGCGCTCCATGACAATTAAAAATATAATCGCAGGATTTCGTGTAACTGGTGTTTATCCCTTAGACCGATCCAAATTATTGGGTAAAGATGAAGAAGATGTTTCAAAAGTAATACCTTTTAATCCTATGATAAGCCGTTCACCTTATCCAAAGAAGGTACGTGCCTGCACCTCTGATGAAGCTAATGAGGATTTTGTGAAAGAATCGGTTAAGAAATCTAAGGAAGAAGCTGATAAGAAATGAAAGGAAGGCTTTGGTACTTATACATGTAGCCTTGACCCTGATGGAGATGATTCAGATGATCATGTTATGATGGCTAAACAGACGAGTCACCCTCTTAAAGCTGCTTTGGAACATCCATCACCAATGCCTAAGGTTAATCCTCATGTACAAAGCAATGCTAAGTCGTCACGTGTATTAACTAGTGCTCAAAATCTTAAGATCCTCAATGAGAAGCAGCAGTTAAAGGAGCAAAAAATAAAACTAAAGGAAGAGAAGCAGAGATTGCGAGCAGAAAAGGCCAGACAGAAAGAAGAAAAGCAGAAAGGTACATGTATGTATAGCTTGACTTTGAGTTGTGCATGTACTTGTAGTATAATTTTGGCTAACTGGGTTTATTGTGTATAAAATATGGAAAAAATGCATGTACATGTACATGTATCTATCATTTGGTTTACATTTTTATTTATTTATTTAAAGATAAGTCAGTGCAAAGGAGGTGTACTAAGAAAACTATTGAAACAGAAGGTGACTTGAAATTTGATTATATTAAGTACATGTAGTTATTATTCATAGATACTTTTACAGAAGAAATTGATGGTGAAGAAATACATGTTGAATCTGATGTTGATCAATCTGTTTTTAGTGGTATGTTCATGTTACCAATAATTGCTACAGTATGTGCATGTATAATATAATAGATACTGTTATTGAAGGAGATATTGAGAAAGAAGAAGATATAGGTTAGCACTATGTACCCTTGAGGCATACATGTCCACATACATGCTCTTCCTGTTATTACAGTTTTATTAATTATTTAATTATTGCGGTTCATCATAATAATTAGTAATTAATTACACTGCCCGCCCACTTATGAAATGAGAAGCTATAAATTTATTATCAATGGCCTTACCTTTTTAGGAGCTACTACCAATTTAAGTGAAATGAAGTCAATCCCTGAAACAAGTATTAATTTACCTACATGTCCATATACCTTTTATACTTTTGTAGGTGGTGTTATGACTAGAGGAAGGAAAGCATTGCTTACTGATGGTACTGAAAGAAGTATGTCAAATCTACTTGAAGTTAATAATGATTTATATTTTTGTTTTAGCTGTTAAGATAAAAGGTGTTGCAGTGGGGAAAAAGGAAGTACTTTCTGGGAAAAGTAAGATTTAGTATTCCTTTGTATTAAGTGCTATTTTCCATCATCATTGTGAAACAATGTTAACTGTAATGCCAGTAATTTTGATAAAAACTTGTATGATTATTCATTATTAGAGGGAGAAACTTAAAAGAAAGCAAAAGAAAAGGTCCCAGTAGTGACAAGAGGAAAAACAAAAAAGGATATTCTTATGGAAAAAGGTACACCATGCTATTTTGATTCCATACTACTTTGATTTATGATACTGTAGCAGCTGATAGAGTAACTACTACAGGAAGGAAGCCGCTCCCTAAACCATCGAGATCTGATGTAGAAGATCATGTATATACCATTGAAAGTGAAGGCAGTACTGATGAAGGTAATAAGAGTGAATAACCATCATTTAATTTTACAAATGTATGTCAATAAACATTTGCTAGAAGATGACTGGTGGATCAAAGATCTTGGTTTAAAGCAGGATGATTACTGGGTGCTGAAGGATGGAGGACACTTGTCAGATAGGGTTATTAATGCTTCACAACTGATGTTAAAGGAACAATATAAAGTTGAGGGACTTCAGAGTACTTTGTGTGGGGAAAATTTGAGTTTTAGACCTCCATGTAAATCTGATGCTTGTATTGTTCAAATTTTGCATACAGGTAGATATTAAAAACTATTTTAAAATATTTTATTGCCTTAGGTAATTCACACTGGCTTTGTATAATAGTTAATCCAGCTACATGTGTAGTAGAAGTAATGGACAGTGCATCATCAAAATTGAATGAAATAACGATGCTTCAAATAGCTAAAATTGTGAACACCATGAAGCCTTCCTTTAAGATAGTCGTGCTTCCTGTTCAACAGCAGCAAGGATCATCTGATTGTGGGCTTCTTTCTATTTCTTTTGCCACAGCTTTTTGTACTGGGAGTAATGTAAGGTCTATCTCATTTAACCAAACTAAAATGAGATCACACTTACTTCAACGTTTTCAAAAAAGAAAAATAGAACCATTTCCTCTGTATCTTAGAAATGTTTCAAAGTTTTGTAAAACCTGCGTCTCCATAATTAAAGTTTACTGCACATACCGCCTTCCAGATTTTTATGATGAAACAATGATTAGATGTGATTGTTGTGGCAAATGGTATCATTCAAAGTGTGTGCAAATTGATTGTAAATCTGTTGATCATTCAGATTATTGGGAGTGTATGGAATGTGGTTCTTAATAATTTTGTCAGTCTTTATAAGTTATCATACTTATTAGCTATACAACAATTTATCATCTTATTTTATCATATCATTTATAATACCATATTTTTGGCCTCGCATCTTAATGTTTTTGATTCATAATAGTAATTATAATGAAAATAATAATGACCTTTGCACTGTAAAATCAAATGACAATAATAATTTATGTGGATGATAATTGATCACGTGACCTACTGTAATTGTGTTGATGCTACTCTCTGAATTGGAGCAGCAGCTACTTCTGAATTCTGCCTGAGATAGAGGAAGGGTAGACCTATCTATATCATGGATGTCATCAGCAAATACTTTGAAACTGTAGAATTGGCAAGCCATTGACTGAATTATTGTTGTTTTGACTGAAAATCGATTTTTCCGCCCGGTCCACTTATCGAGCTGCTGTGCAAAAAGTAAGAAAGCTGCAGCTCTGGTCTTTTATTACCTGTTACAGGTAGTCATAGTGTTTATGCAAAACAAAAAGATTTGTGCATCCAAGTTGATACCACGAAGAAATCGCGTCCGATAATGCATGGTGGATGAACATCTGTGGCTTACTCTATCTATGGAGTCACTGATGGTGATGGAGCAGTAGGTGTGGCCTATGCTAATGTTACTGTACAGGTGGAACCGAGGGTGGAACCTGATTATCCACCAACAGCTGATGCTGGAGAGTCAGTATTGGTACAATTACCTCATGATGAGGTAACACTGGATGGAGGATGGAGCAAAGATGATAAAGGAATTGTAAAGTATTCGTGGAAACTGTTGAAAGGAAATCAAGCTCGAAATCAAGTGGAAATGAAAGTAATTTATAATTACATGTATCAATAGAGGATATGCGTGCTAAGTATATTCATTGCAAAATAAATATATTCATTGCATACCGTAATAACTTTCAAGAAAAAAAATAAGTTCGTTGGACGTCAACTTTCCATTGGCAGCAATGGAGAAAAGATAGAAAAAGGCTTGGTACCAGGAAACCACTCTGTATTTCTTGATAGCAATCTTTCAGGTGACTACTAGACCCCATTGGATTCTCAGGATGCTTTCTAAGCTTCCGAAAAAGGCCTCAAGAAGGTAGCAATGCAAGAAAATGTGTTTTCCCCCATTGAACTCTTAATAAACTTGACGTCCAATATGGCGGCCAATTTACTGTGTGGGTTGGATATACGGTAATACAGTTTGAACTGACAGTAACTGATGCTGCTGGTCAGTCTGATAGTGCTACAGTAACTGTTGATGTACAGAAAGGTAACAATTGACAACAAGAAGAAAAATATCT